GGTGCACAATGTTGATTTTATTTTCACCATCGCTCCTCGTTAGTCATAAATCGTGGAGTCTTAATATCGATGACCCTCTAGCTCACAATAGACTGTTGGGCAAATTTTTTCTGCACATAAATATTTTAAATAAAATTCTCTTCGCACGAATATTTTATTGCTATACCATAATTAGGTTTGCAATAAGGTAAAATGAACGAGTGAAGGCCCCACATTTTAAAGGAACCGCAACGCATAGGACCCCTAAAGCCAAATTCGAGAAGGAAAAAAAAATATGTAACAAAATATTGAAGAGTCAATTTTAAACTACAGATTCAAATTTTATTTATTATTTTAACGAGATTGTTCGAATGAAAAGTTTCTAAAAAAGATATATTACTTATACTTGTGTCGAGAAACATTTCAAAGAAAGTTTTCGTATTGTACTTTCGCAGACTTTAAAAAAACAATCCAAAATCATGGTCTTATGCTCGTTTATTTGCTTTCTTTTAAATGAGGCCCTTTGCAAAATATTTTCTTATTATTTATTATAATTTTCGCTGAAAAGGTTAATATTTGCTTTATTTCGTTTCCTTTGAAAAAGGTTTTCGCTTAATATTTCTGCTAATCTAATCATGACAGCAAGCAAAAATGCAAAAAATAAGGTTTACAATTTGCTTGTTTTTTAACCTAAATAACAATATGTTTAAAAAAAGATTTAAAAATCATTTAGTTTTCCTTTAAGGAGGAAAGGTTGGAAATTGCAATATTTTTACGTCATTGAAAAAAGGTTTTTACCGCAAACCTTTTCGTAACAATGAAAAGTAAAGTTAAAACTCAAGGTTGTCGCAAGGCTTTCTGGGAATAGTTAGTTGTTACAAACACTTGTTTTATACAGTTATCAACGGAACACCAAAGTATTTTACCCTTCTAATACAGACTAACGAAGTAAATGTAACTATAGATAGATTGAAGCCAGCTTATATTGAACCAGAAGAAAATGCTGAAAAACCTACATCTACGTTCGCAAAGTATATACCAAGAACACTGTCAGTAAAGATTCTGTTACAGCCTGAGCTGAAATCAGCGATTAAACTATCTCGGACTGGTCGAATAATAAAGACACCAATAAGATTCGAAACCTGAATTTTACTACGCATTTCTCCTACTAGTAACGTAACGTTCGTTACTGGTAGGGGAGTATATGTAGAGACATAAAATTTAAATAATTTATTTGAACGTGTTTTGTTGTTGTTCATTTACGTCGCACTAGAGCTGCGCAATGGGCTATTGGCGGCGGTCTGGGAAACATCCCTGAGGATGATCCGAAGACATGCCATCACAATTTTGATCCTCTGCAGAGGGAATGGCACCCCCGCTTCGGTAGCCCGACGACNACCTGCACGCGAAGTCGAGCACTTTACGGTAGCACAGTTTAACGAGGACCAATACCGCACACCCTCGGTCCCTACGCAGACTGACCTGTTTTGGAAAATTATAAGTTTTAGTTTTGAATTCGTTTTGGCAACGGAGTTAGATATATAAAAAAGTGTTATTGTGTTCTAAAATGTTTAAGAAATAAAATATGTTAGTTTTTTGATAAAATTATTTGTAGTGTCGTAAATTGGCATTCATTTAATTTAGTTGGCACAAAGACCCAACAGAGCATTTTACGAGGACTGATGCCGTGCACCTCCGGTCCTTACGCAGGATGAGTGATGCTTGAACCGTGTCCTTACGATCAGTCCACCGAGGAACGATGGAAGTTCGAAAAACACTGTTGAATGAGTTGTTTTACCTTTGTGAGTTTTTCTTGGAGGTGAATTGGTATTCAAGCATTTTGTTGTTGTTGTTGTTAATTTACGTCGCACTAGAGCTGCACAATGGGCTATTGGCGACGGTCTGGGAAACATCCCGGAGGATGTTTCCCATCCCGGAGGATCACAATTTCGATCCTCTGCGGAGGGGATGGCACCCCCGCTTCGGTAGCCCGACGACCTGCGCGCGAAGTCGAGCACTTCACGGTAGCACAGTTTAACGAGGACCAATACCGCACACCCTCGGTCCCTACGCAAACTGATCCAAGTGGGTCACCCACCCGCACACTGACCGCAGCCAGTGATGTCAAGCATTTTTCCGAGTGAGTGTACTTCTTTGTTCTCAGTTTGAATATTGGAGCGCGACTCGAAAGAAAGCATTTTAAATTTATTGCGGTTGCAAAGATAAATCACGAAATTAACTATGCGGCTTTTATTTATTTTTTGATATTGAAAACTTCATAACCGTAACTTTCTTAAAATTTGATTTTGCGTGACTGCTTGGTTATGTAGATACTCCTCCGAGTTTTGGTTTCCCCATATCTATTCAAATGCTTGTTTTGTAAAAAATTTTTTTCCTTCTGAATATTAACTTAAATTGATTGGTACCTAACAAAATCTTGTTTATTTACGAACAGATTGAAAGTTTCGGGAAACTATTCCCAAATATGAATTTTTTACACCTATTTAGAAAGCGCGAATTTACTATTTCAATATATAAGTGTCCTTATGATAGTAAATATTTGTATTGATTAATTTAAATCCTAGGTGGAAGAGGTCTGTATTTTGAAATATTAATTTTAATTTTTTTTATTAAAAAAATTGCATTTGTTAGAAATATTTTTCTTTTAATTTGTATGTTTTGCTAAGTATATTTGAATCCTTTTTAATTAATTTATAACAAATTTCTAAACAGACTATTCTTTGTCACTTTTCTATTGTCACCTTTCTGTTTGATTAGGCGGGAATTATTAGGAAACATATCTTTGAAAATGGGGAAATTGTAAGTTGCTATTATTTAGGGAAAAGTTGTGTACTGCATTCTAACATACTTAGATCTGAGAACAAATTTGTACTAATAATTACTAAATAAAGTTTATGAGAGTGATGATAACACTGCTTTTAATAACTTAAGAAGCATACCTGCCAACTTTTAATTCCTTCGAACTCCTAAGTTTTAATTCCTAAGAAATTAAGTTTATAAATGCATGGAATTTATAGAAATTATACATTTTGTTACCACTTTAATTATAGAAATAAAATTTTTCGCCAAACGTGTAAAAGTTGGCAGATATGCATAAGAATGGTGAACAATCATGTTTACATATTGTCTCTATGTGTTCCCAAATTTGGTATTGCCTCCTTACAAATAATATGTACCTTATTTTAGAAAAGATAAATATGACATTCACTCCCTTTATTTTCAAAGTCATAATTTTTTGTTAACCTTTATCAGTCCTCGATATAGTCTTACAGTGTTTTCATCACAGAAAAAAAAAATGGGTGAGAATTTTTCCCCCTTTCTTAAAAACAGGGTGAGATTTCTTATATATATATTATATATATTTATATATATTTCTTATAATATAAATAGTCTTGAAAATTTTTTTTTCTCTAATTATAATACGTTTTTAACATCTTCTATTTTTTAAAGCATTGAATATTTTTGCTGCATCATCATAGAAAATTTTGCTTTTGCCTTTACAAGGTATTTGTCCGTCTTTCATTAGTGCATAAAAAATTTGAACGTCTTAAACGAAGAAAACTTAACTACGGTAAACGCGAGGTTGCAAAGAAATGTGTTCTGAAGGGGTTCCGTGGTTCGGTAGGGTAGTGTTCTGTTGTTCGAAAATGGTTCTCAACAATTCTGGTAAATAGGGAAGCTAGATAAAGGGGCAGATGTTAAAAATAAGGAAAGATCCAGGAAAAAAAGTGAAACGAATTTTATTCAAAATGGCGTAATGCGAAGCTTTTTCCAAAGTGCGAGTAATTCGCGAATTTTGAAATTGATTTATAGAATGTGCGAATTTCTCGCGGTAATCATTTTTTAATGCGAGAAAATAAAAAAATATGCGAGATTCTCGCATTCTCGCGCTGTAGTGAAAACAATGTCTTACAAATAAACTGACAATCACTCCCTTTATTTTCAAGTCATAATTTTTTTATTAGTAACCGATATCAGTCCTGGATATAGTCTTACAAGTGAACTGATAATTAACTCCCTTTATTTTCAAAGTCGTAATTTTTTATTAGTAACCTATATCAGTCCTGGTTATAGTCTTACAAATAAACTAACATTCACTCCTTTTATTTACAAAGTCATAATTTTTTATTAACCTATATCAGCCCTTGATATAGTCTTTCAAATAAACTGGTAACTTTCTCATCTTGATATTTTGCTTTCGGCCATGCCAGCTGGAGCGTAATCCAGGTAACCACCCTGGGGCAGAATTTTTTCCAACTATCTGCGGCAAAACTCTCTAGCACTAATATCTTTCTGCAGGACACTTTTAATAATAACAAATATGTTACTAATTTAAGGTAAAAAATGCTTTGTGTTTACAAAAAAATATATATATAATTTTTTTTGTAAACTCAAAATCCGTAGTAGTAATTGCCGGAAAAAAAGATTGCTGACGAAATCACGCGAATAGCACTCCTTGAAAGCGTGTCACGTTTCGAAATTAGGTTGTAGTAATAAATAATATTATATAAAAAGTGGATTTAAAAGCAACGGAGAAATCAATAGCAATAACTGCCAAAATTTTGATAGAATTATTACCTTATAAAGTAAATACTCAAATGTATTATTCGAATTCTCCTTATTGTTTGAAATTTATCAGGATATTTAAAACCAACGTGAAAATCAATATGGCATAAATGGAGCACTTCAAAAAGTGATTATCTGTGACTAAAAGGGAAAGTTTCCGTAGGAAAGAAAACAAACTTTTAACATTTCAAGAGAAAAATCTTTCTCCAAGAACTCTAACATTCTGCGAGAGGGGGATGGGTAATCAGACGTTCTTGTATAATTTTTTTCTGCATTTCTATTTTCAACTTCCTCCCTCGAAGCAAATTGTCTGAAAGAAACAGTTCTCTTGTCTGCCAAGTTTGACAGGGTTTGCTTCAATTAGTTTCACTTCCTGGGCTCATACTTATTCCACGCATTTGGTGGGAAGTTTTCCGTATCGTGGCAGAATAATCACCAAGTCTTTGAAACTTCCGGGCAGTGGCCCACGAGAAACTAAAAAATAAAAAAACATCACGGAACGGGTCCAACTCGAAAGATATAACTCGTACCCACCCCCAAGCAAACACGTACATGATTTTTTTTTTTAATTTGCAAGTTTAAAATCTATTTGGCACATTGGCGATTGTAGTTGGCGCTACGGATCACAATACGGAATTATCCCCCATTTGGTTCTGCATAAGAAGTTTTTTTTAACGACAGGTGCTGAACTTAGCCTAGGAAGATGCCGGAAGTGCTACTCATTTAACGTTACCCTTTCCGGATGACTAATAATAATAAATTAAATTTTAATAATTAATAAATAAATTTGATTAATATTATATAAAAAAATTATTGTATTTTGTTAATGTATATTTGAAATTGATTTTTTTTTAAAAATCATTATTTTTCTTAATTTTTTAAAATTTATTTTCAAAAAATCCATTATAAGGGGGCTCCAGAGGCCTAGTCTGGCTTAATGGGTTATCCCACACTGGTCAGTTCTAAGAATAGAAGGTCTTGGGGTGATCTATTTACATCAAGGATGGGGTATTAAAATCTGAATACAAAAGCCGTTCACAGTGGTGAAAAGAAATAAGGTAAATAGTGCATAATCAACAGTGAGACTTCTCTAGTTCTAAAAGACAGACAAAAAAATGAATAAAATTTCTTAAAATTCTTTAATGCCTTAAAATTTTAAAAATCATTAGAGTTAAATTATGTTTCCCAAAAATAAATTGGAACCCCTGTTTACATACCTGCCAAGTCTCCTGTTTTTTAACGAAAACTCCTGTATTTTATAACTATCTCCTGTTTACCCGTATATTCTCAAATTTCTCGTATTTGTTGAAGAAATTCTGAAATTTTTTATTTCAACAGATAGTGCTATTGCCAGTGCTACAGTATGTTGAGTGTTAATAGTTTAAGTCAAGCCGTGATAGCTCGGTGAATTGAATGTTCGCCTTCCAATTAGATGAACCGGGTTCAAATCCCAGCGATGGCTGGACGATACAACCATAGTGTTGACGTAAAATATCATCTGTAGACGGGTCATGGGTTAGAGTCCCTTTGCCGTCAGGCTAACCGTTGGAGGTTCTCTTGGTTTTCCCCTCCATGTATTGCAAATGCGGGTTAGTTCCATCAAAAATCCACCACAAAAGCAAATTTCTCCCGATACTTGGTAATACGATACTGAATGTAAGTGCTTATATTATGCTTATTTTTATACTTACGTGATTATGCATCAAAGCTTTACTCGTAGCCTAAAATATGTTGCTAGTAAGATTTCCATTATTTTATTTCTCCAATGTTGGCAGGTATGTGTCTATTTTCATTTGATTATTAAAAGTGTTTCTAAAAAAAATTAAATTTTTAGTTTTTCAGAATAACAATGAATCCACTGAAAGACAATGAAGATGTTGCTTGTTTTGCTGTCACAAAACATTCATGGAAAGGAAAGTATGTTCATAACACACTCTTTTGAAATTGACAGTTTAAAATAGTTTTTCTTTTTTTGGAAGCTTGATATTTTAATAGGCAAACAAATCTATTTTTCGCAATGGTATGGTTCAGTTTAGATTGTGTGAACTTTTACTTCAATCAAAATTAGGGGGAAAGTTAGTTATATAGTATATTATTGTAGTTATATACTAGTTGTATAGTATATTATATTTCCTCATTTTACGCTATTCAGCGCAGTATTACATATATATATACCAGGGGTTTGTCTAGGGCAAATTTACTACTGTTTAGCGGTACCTTCAGAAATTCAACTTAAGGAAAAAAGGTTTCACAAAATACTTTTAAAAAAGCAAGTTCTAAACTTCAACCCCCTGTTTTTTAAAATTGTGTAAGCTCTTAAAAACAACAAACCCAAGTGTTAATGAAGCATTTTGATTTGCAAAATAGCCCACTCGTGGTTTGCTATTATATCGTAATAGAAGAATTCGCTTTCCACTTTGTTTGCAGGAAAAGGGTTTTTTATAGCGGAGTTTTTTAAATGAAAGGCTGTCCCTCTGTAAAGATTACAGGAAGTCTAAATTCAAACTATTATTTTAAACAATATTAAATTCATTCTTATAGACCTTTATTATTTTTTTTATAAAAATTTTTTTCTCTGGGAAACTTTTTTTTGTATGTCCCAATTGGAAAATGTTCTCATAATGAAGATAACTTTTAGTATTATTACTGTTAAATGTATGTTTCTATTAAATTCAAGTTGAAATTTAATTATGACAATAATTTTTTTAGATTTTTAAAATTGGATAAAATTTTCAGCCCAAAATTTTACGATACCAAAATTATTTTTGAATAAATGGGAAAAATATATAGAAATTTAACAGTCATGATTTTTATTTTTAGTGAAAATTTTTTGAAAATATTTTCTTATTTTACCTTATTTTTGTGTTGATTTGTTAACAAAATTTTTAATTTTTGCAAATTATGTCTAGATTTTCACAAAATAAGTACCTTGTAAAAAAAAACCTAGACAGATCCCTGCATATATAGAAACCTGTAGGGCCACTTTGTTGGCCCCCTAATTGGCCTATAATAATTTCCTTTGGTAGGGTATACCAGCAATCCTGCAATATAATATGTGGCCCAGTTCGAATATTAAGGGTAAGATGTAGGGTGATGCAGTAATACGCATTCTGAAAGTAATGCGCATTTTCTGGGAAAAATAGATTTATTGATCCTATGGGTACAAATGGTTAAAATTCTTCAAAATAGTTCCCTTGTGCATCAATGCACTTGCAGAGACGATTCTGCCACGTCTGGAAGGCACCCTGGAACTCCTCAACAGGAATGCCTCTCAGGAACCTTGTAACATGAGCTTGGATGTTCTCCACCGACTCCCAGTGCTTTCCCTTCAGTTCTCTTTTTAGTCGGGGGAGCAAAAAAAAAAAAAAAATCACACGGCGCCAAGTCAGGGCTATAGGGAGGCTGGTGCACCAACTCATCATTTTCAGCAATTCTTCGCTGCACAAAACTCGAACTTCTTTTTACTCATCTGTCAACACCTTCGGCACAGACCTTTTGCATTTGAAAATCCTCCGTCACAATCCCATGTACCTCACATTTTGACAAGTTTAGGGTGTTACAAGCCTTGTGCCACCTTCCACACCGAGATCACGAAATGCATTCCCCCTTAAAGTCACCTTGAAGCATGTGATGAGTTTTCGTCACATTCTTCCCAAATCGCCCACAAAACTTTATCGCATACCAGTGAACGAACACTCCATCACGCCTAGACTCGATCGAAAAAAGACTTTGCGCCGATCAATTGGCGCGTCACAATAAAATTCTCATTACTTTCAGAACGCACCCTGTATAATATTTTTATTGCAGGTGTATTTTATTTTTTAAAGAAAGTGGCCAAAACTTGAAAAATAATTGTTCAATTTTTATATTAAGTTCTCCTTAGCTCTTTCTACTGAGGTATGTGCTGCCTTTAAGAAATTTGTAAGGAAAAATTCCGTTGAATAGATTCCAAATATTCCATTCAAAAAGATCAGAACCCAAGTCATGCAGATGGGAAAAAAAAGTTGAAAGTGCTAATGTGCATTTTTTAATGTAAATTTATTACCGCTTAGACAGCTTGAACATGGTGCATAGCATTTTTAAGAAGTGCTTAAAGATACTTGTTTTCGATTTTCGTTTTTTACAAGCTTTTAAAGGTGCTTTTTTTCATTGGGTGTTTTTAAAAAGTGCTCATTTTTCCCCTTTCGAAAATTAGATTTTGTTCTTTACTATGTCGATTTTTGTCACATATTATTCAAAACCTGGATTTTCCCATTATTCTTTTCAATGTTATCACAATTCTTTCAACCACAATCTATTTCTGCCTATCGTCGGTCCATAGCCTATGAAAGCGCCAATTATTTTACATATTTGATGAAATACTTGCGAGTCCGTATGTTCATATATATTAAGCTGGGTTCGGTCAGATTATTGCACTCTCGTGTGCGTAACTCTGCTGCATTTTGCAAGATATTCTCAATTTCAGGCTTCATTTTCCACCCTCTGATATCGAACTGAAAAATCTCTCGATCTTTTTATGTTGACTAATATAATTCAGTAAAGAGTTCTTTGTCAGAATAATTACTTTGTTAATGTATATCGTGCTTAAAAATATTCTTTGAGTGCTTAAAATAAGTACTTGAAAGTTGCTCATTTTTTGTTGAAAACTGGCTACGCACACTGACTTAGCTTGAATGAGACACATTTTAGAATAGCAAAATGTTTAGTAATTTTATGTTAAAATCTTACAATGAAATCATAAGATTTTAACATGAGAGTCTATTATCTCATCAGTTATTATCTTGTAAGATAAAGAGTCTATTATCTCACCAGGTACAAAAGAATATTTTCTGTTGGAACCATGGGCATTTCTACTTATAATCCTGGGAAAATAGAAGTTACTAACCAGGTAGGCATTTCTTTTATTTTTTTCGAACATTTACTTATATGTTAGCAATTTAATGTTAAGCAATTAAATACAGTCGTCCCCACTTAATTGAATAACAAGCTTATACAAATAAAATTTAATCAAACAAAATCATTTTATATGAAGCTAATGTTAAATTTCCTTTTTAGATGTCAATGGGTGGACACTTCAATAGTTCTGCTCAGTTGTTGCTCCGAACAAGTGTTGGGTCAATCTTTATGGCATTGTAGTTTAATTGGGGGATTTTGACCCCTCTCACTTCACTCACATACAGTGGCGTAGTTTTGAAACACCGAAATTATACATTACTTGACTAATGAGCTATTCGGTTTCGTAAGTAAGATGTAGACATAAAATATTTTCATTTTTCTCGTAATTTAAACATTTAGAATATATTTAGCTGCAAACTTGTACGGCCGTTGTGGAAAACACTTCCTGGTAGTAACAACATTATAGCAGTTTGACGTAATAAATCTTCAATTTTCCAGTTTAAAAAAAAAGAAAATTCTACCTACCATGACAAATCAATTATTAAAAAATATGTAAATATGATCTATTTGTTCGCTTAAATATTTAATTCGTTTAATCATTAAAAAATCTTTCCAACTTTAATTGTTCATTTACTGCCACTTTATAGTAAAATCTTTTTAAGCGACTGTACAAGTTGGCAGGTATACATATGTGTCAAAAGGTGTAATCCCCTCCAAACATACAATAAAACTACGCCACTGCTCACACATCATATAAAATGTAAAAAGTGTGGATTTTTTCTTTTTGTGGTCCCATGCTGGTGCATTTTTTACTTTGATAGGAAAAAGTGTCAGAATTCTGCTTAGTGTTCAGTGTCTTTTTAGTCGTGAAATTTTGTATCCTTAATTTGAGTGACCCTTGGCCCACAGCGGGTTGTTGCGGGAATGCTTCATTTTTTTTACCTATATTATACTTTTCATTAGCATATTTTAGAAATTCAATAAACATAAATCAGTAAAAATTAAAATATTTTTACACTAATTTTATTTTTTACAGAGAGCTAATTTGGTTTTAGCTGCTTTAGGCGCTTTTCCATTTTGATTAATGTTTTAATAGTTTATATACTTCTTTGTCTCCTTTTTTGCTTTTGTAAATTGAATTCATTTTCTGATTAGATTACTTTTCATTAGCACTATTTTATTTTTATATAACTTTCCCTGTGGCAGAATCGCGGCTTTGTTGCAGAATGTTACAGAGTTCTTACAAAGAGATTTTTCCTTTGGAAAGTAAAAAAAATTGCTTTTCCTTTCTACAGAAATTTTCACATAATAATTGAATCATGCTTTCAAATAATCACATTTTGACATGCTTAATTTATGTTCATAGTATCGCAAATCGTTATACTGTTTCGATTGTTTTTTCGGCAATTATTGATATAGATCTGATTAATCTTTTACTCTGATTAAACATGTTTTTTTGAAGGATATGGATTCTTAGTACATAGGGGTAACCTCAATACGGAAATTATGGTCCCAATACTTTGATGAACTATTTTTTACTTTAAATACTAGTAGTAAAATATCCTTGAGTTATTTTTTTAAAATTGTTATTAAAAAGGGAAATTTTGAATAAGAACAAATTCAGGGGTCGACTTATACACCCAATAAACAAATTGTCTCTATTGAGAGCTGTATATATTGCTGCTGGGCAATTGAAAAATCAACGTAATCATAAAAAATTGATATTTTAATATATTTGGCTTTTTTTTTGTATGGTAAGCTACCTATTGCAAAATATTTTTTTTTCAGAAATAAATTTTGCTTTATTAGTTTTTAAAAATTCTATATTAGCGTTCATAGCATTAGCAACAGAAGGGAAATAATTTCATACACTACTGGAGAGGACATACCTCTCCAGTATTTATATCTTTCTGCTTGATACTTTTAATGATAACATATACACATGTTACTAATTTAAAGTAACAGAAGCGTCAACTTCAAAAAAAAAAATTTTTTTTTGGATAAAATAATTTTCTTAAATTGAATATGTAGTATGTTTTCATTCTAATATTATAGGCGATGTTCTCACATTTTGTAGGGGAAAACACACTAATCATTTTCTTTTCCCCATTTTGTATATCCTCATCACATTAAAAATAAAAAACCGTATAATCCGTAGCTGTAATTACCGAAAAAATGTGGAAAGCAAAATCACACGCATGAAAGAGGGGTAGCTAAATGATGTGTGTTTTCATTTTGAGATTCAGTTGTTAAATTATATTGTATTAAAAATGTAAGATTTTAAAAACTTTGCGGAAGTCAATGCAATTACTGTATTGAAAAATAGAACGAAAATTTGTGCGGAAACGAAAACTAAATTTTTTACTTCATTATTCTTTATTTTTCATTATTCTCAAATGAAAATAGAGAAGTCAGAAGAATTTTTTTCCACTCCGAAGTGCGAGAAAGGCATCTTTTTAATGTAATTCTAAAGAAAAGAGAAAATCTTAGGAAAATTTCTGCAGAAAAGAAAATTAAAATTTTTTACTTCCCAAAGGAAAAATCTTTCTGCAAGAACTTTGTATCATTCTGCGACATTGTCGTCGTATCGCCACGATTCTGCCACGAGGGTTAACTTTTACTCAAAAGTGCAGTATAAAAATTTCAAGGGTTCATAATAGTCATACAAATCCTCGATTATTAATGAATGTAAATTTTTGTGCGTATTTTCAAAATATTCTTTCATAATGTGCAATTTTTTTTATAGTGGTTTTATAGTGATTTTATAAACATCACGCCCACTGGAAAAGGACAGACAGGTGATGAATTCATAATTAATATGAAAAAAGGTCGAAAAATTGAGTCCATGAAATTTTCTTCTGAACATAGAGCAGAAATATTAACTGAAGCATTGGTAAGTTAAAATTTTTTGTTCAAACTTAAATTATTCTTTGTTTTGTGTAATTAATAGTTCTAATTAAAATAGGTTTATTAAATCAGGTTAATTTGAATAAACTGATTTTTATTTTTAAAAAAACTTTATTTTAAATCTTTTTTTTAATATTATTTATTTATGGCACCATTGCCATCAGTGACTGCAAAAGTTTCTCAAGAATGGGGGGGAGCTCTATCCCCTGCTTGTATATATGTGTAGTTCTTTATATATTTATATAAATATTTATATACAGTAACGTTAAAAGGTTTACTCACTCTGGAATTTTTAAAAATTAACAAATAACAATGTTTTTAAACTGAAAATCACAACAAATTAATTTTATTTTGTTAATTATAAGTACACTTATGTGGTAAGAACTCTAATGTTAGTTATGAATCCGTCCTATCTTGTATTTTTCAAAATATTTTCCTGTAGCCTTAATCACAGCAGCACATAATTTTGCAATACTCTAGTTGAGATCTGGTTCCAGCAACTTCTCCAAAGTTTGTTTTAATTGGTACATTGCATTTTTCTAACATTTCTATAGAGTTTTCCCACAATAGCTCGATAGGATTAATATCTTGGATTGAGGGGGCCAATCCTTGTATTTCGGTACTTTCTTTTCTTTTAATGCAATGTAGTTTCTACATAATTTCGATGAATGTTTCGGATCATTATATTGCTGAAAAACAAATCCTTGGCCAAGGATTCTCTGTCCATATGGAAAAGCGTAATGCTGCAATATTCTGTGATAATGTTTTTTATCCATAATTCCCTCTATTCTAATGCGATCTCCAACTTTGTCACTGGCAAATGTAGAATTCAAAAATTCTACATGTTTTTGTTAACCTTTAACTTTTTAAATCTCTTTTATTTTTGATAAACTTTAATATTTTTACTTTCTGTAAAAATCCAGTTTTTTTAGATATATAATTGAATTAAATTTATTTGGCTATTAACTTTTTCTTAAAATATATTTAACTATATTTATATTTAATGTAGTGAACAAGTTTCCTTTTTTTTTTTTTAGCATTTGTTAAGTTAGTTTCTTTTTGAGCAAACACATGGCAACATCAGTTCTACTATTGGGTTGTAAAGATCCAGAGCAAGTTTCTAATGTTACTTTCAGTTTAATTTTTTTTCTTCTGCTAATTTGATATATTATGATAATTTAAATTTTTGAACTTTGTTCAATGATGATTCAGATATTTCACACTATGTATAAGTTATTTTTTTCGTAATTATCTTTCAATTTTTGTTAAGGCAATAATATTATTTGAAAATTAATTTTCCTGATGAGTTTTGTGATGATGGCAACGGTGGTGGTTTTGGTGGGGATATAAAAACGAGAGCGTGGGTGAGCGTCTCTCTCTCTCTTCTAATCATGACTTGTAGTTAAAGGCACGTCTGTTTTAAATTTTCTTCAACTGGAGGTAACTTCGCAACGGTGCCATGGGGGCACGTAATTTCCATCTGGAGACATTCTTCGATATCACAATATAAACCATATAAGCAACTCCGTGTATTATGCAAAAGCGTGCTTTTCACATTGTTCTATTCAACGTTTTAACAATTCATTCGGCCACAATCAATTTCACTTACATTTGGTTCGTAGCGTAAAATCACCAATCATTTTACATGTTTGATAAAATACTTTGGATTTCGCAGGTGCATCTACTGAGCTGGGTTTGGTGAGATTATTGCACTTGCATGTGCAACTCTGCTAGCAGAATATTCTCAATTATTTTGGCAAGATATTCTCAATAAGTTTCAATTAGAGAAATTTGTTCGGTACCTTTCTTTACATTACCTTATTATTACATTCTCGGTGGCAGAATCGTAAGGTCACAGCGACATAGTCGCAGAACACAACCTAGTTCTTGCAGAAAGATTTTTCATTTGGAAAGTAAAAAATTTTGGTTTTCTTTTCTGCAGAAATTTTTGTTATATTTATTATGTGTTTTTTTCTATTTTACACATCCTATTTTTAAAATCCTATATTTTTAATACGATATTGTTTGTTACAACAGCTGAATCTCGAAATGAAAGAAGCACTCATTTAGTAACCCCTTTTCGAAGAGTCTTTGCATGATTTCACAGTCAATCTTTTTTTCAATAGTTACTGCTATGGATTTCACGATTTTTTATTATTCTTTAAGTGTGATGATGATTTACAAAATGTGAAGAAAAAAATAATTAGTGTGTTTTCCCTCTACAAAATGTGAGAATATCAGCCATAATATTAAAATTAAGAAAAAAAATTTAATTCAAATAAAAAAGTTATATTATTTCATTTTAAGCAGAAAGTTATTATTATTATTTTTTTTTTCTTTTAAGTTGGCAGCTTCTGTTATACTAGTAACATGTACATTTGTTATTTTTTAAAAATATCTTGGAGAAAAATATTAGCATAGGCATGTCATAAAAAGCCCGAAAAGATTCTGCCACAGGGATTACAATAATATTAGTGCCTACCAATCTCTTGTTTTATTAAAACATGATCTTCAAAAGTGTAGTTTATTTTAATGTTGAAAATATATTTTTGTATCCTAAGGATTGTTTTTTTTTTTTAAGCTTTAATTTTATTTAAATAAATGGGTTGGATTATTCTTTTTGGAACCATTTGTAATAAAGATTAAGATATAAATAAACATTATTTAATTTGTCATTTCCAAGTATTATAAGCGTGAAATTAATTTTTTCATCTTTTTGTTATGCTGTTTTTCAGTAGTTAATTATGATACTTTTCTATTTCTTTTTTAATTAATTTGAATCTTGTATTGTCATGAAAGAAATTGAAGTTTGGTGGATGAAAGCAAATAGATTCAAAATCATAAACAGCCTTAACGAAGAATCAAATTTGATAAATAATAAGAAAATATACTTCATTTTTGTTAATTAGGAGCTCTAATGATAAAAAATAAGATAAGATGATAAAAATAATGAGATAATAGTAAGATCGTTAATTTTGTTAATGGCTCAGAGGTTGTGGCATATTTTTCTACTAATTCAACACCTTTACCAAACAAGCAAATTTATATGTTCTTTCATTTAACAGAGATTTCATTTCATTAATAAAGTTTGACTGCCAAGAATTTGAGTTTTGCATTCATTTTAATTGTACAATGATGCTCGTTATTATTTAACTGTACAAATTCTAAAATTAATTTTTCTGTTATTTTTTTATTTTATTTATTTACTTTATTATTATAATTTTTTTTAGAGATTTAGAAGCAAATTTGCTGACTCAACTTATTCTTCTCCTGTAAGTATCCTTCACTTTCATTTTTAAATTTAATTCAGAAATTTACTTTATATTTGTCTTTACATGGAATAATCTACTTTGCTTGAGTTACAGTTTTGAATTTGGAGTTAGGTGTTTGATTGGAAATGTTCAGAATGTTTGCTGGTGTTATGAGGGAGAATTTTTATAGTTATATAATTATAACTATAATAATTTTCCTCTTTTATATAAATATTATACAGTAAAATTTCGCTACAACAATATTTTTGTGACCAAATAAATATATTGTTGTAGAGGGATATATTATATCAAGGGCCTACATGCTTTGGGGACACAATAAATTTTTTTATTTTAATGTCATATATATTATATAAAAAATTAATTTGCAAAGTGTTAATTATGGTTAAATATTAAAAACAATTGAAATGAAATAAGATGGCAAACTGTTTTTATTAAAAATAATTCGATATTTCTATTTGTTTATTCATTACTGTCATGTCAGCCAACAAAGTATGCAGAAATGATTTTTGTTTGTGAATGGTGCTCCACCCACCCTCAGCAGAAAATATTCTCTTTCAGGTGTAATGCTTGTGGTTATTTGTGACTCAGCTTTTAACTTGAAGGAAATAAAATCAGATAATGTTACAACTTCTTAGGAGATAAGGAAACAATTCTAAGAATGGAAGTTCTTTGGGGTGAATCAGCAGTGAGTCTTCTTTTGTCAGAAAAAAAATGGCAATGGATAAAATAAGATTTTTTACATTATTTGAAAACCAATAATAAATGGTGAAAATGAGCTCGAGGTAGTTTATAGTGGAATTGCTCGGGGTAGTTTATGGTGGAAGTGGTCCTATATAGAATTTTCAGATTCACCCGATATTTCATGTCTATTTTTTAGCAAATGTAGGTTCGATTTTGGCCAATATAAGCCCTATGTAGACCATTCTAAGACCAATATTGGTCCCTGAGTGCGTGCTAAGGACCCATATCGAGCCAATTTTGAACCCAACTGGGGCCAAGGTAAAATGGTTGTTTTGAGTAGTTTATAGTGGAAAGATTTCACTCTTGGGAAATAAAGTTATGTAAAGTTTTTGTATTTTCTTCTTTCCAGAGATACAGTGCATTAAAGTTACACTGGTCAGATAGTACATTACCCGTTACACTAGAACTGTCTCCAGCAAGCATACAACAAAAAGATGTTACAAGTGGCTCTACAATTGCTTCATACGACTATAAAGATATCCAACAGTTTGTCCTCGTTTCCGACCGAGAAGGGGGATTTGTAGTTGTGTGCAGTGAGTTCGGACGACAGGTATGATAATTTTTTTTAAAGCAATTCTTTTGCATGGTTGTATAATCATAAGAAGTACATTAAATTTGCATGCTTAGTCAATTTATTTGTATGTATATATATACAGTCTAACGTCACATATCCGGACGTCCCTTTTCCGGAAGGGTCGATTTCCCAGACACTTTTTAACAATCAAAATAAACAAACATTTCTTCATCTTCCCCTCTCCTTTAAAAAAAAAAAAAAAAAAAAAACCAAGTCTTTTGACAGGTTTTTTCCCTTCTCAGCTTCTAGAGATCTATGCATTGAACCCATAATTCAACAGAAAAGAGAACACAGAAGATCTACTAAGACCATGACATTCCTCCTCTGGAATGCAGGAAAGGGAGGAGATTTGTTTTTAAAAGAGCACTACTGAGTCCCCCCCCTCTCCCTTCTTTCCTATGCAGCTGTCTAGTAAAAGAGGCATTTCCTGGAACCTTTTTATTTGAGTGTCAGGGGAAGAAGAAATACTGTGAAAAAGGGTAAACACAGCAAATGTTAAAGTATAGGGGGAATCCCCTTTAGTCACACAAGAAAAAATAAAGAGAACCCAATCAGCATGCCACGCCTTTATGCTTTCTTGATAGCCAATGATGGGAGAGAAAATAAGAATTTGTCACTACCCCGCCTTCAACTTGAATGACAAGTAAGGAGGAAATTTATATATATATATATCATAATGAATAAATAAATACAAAAAGGGCAACAACGAAAAAGCATAGAAAATTAAGAAAAACAATAAGTTTTATTTACTGCACATAAGCTACAAGTTGTTGGAAAATGTAAACAAATAGATGGGCAGTACTTTCCTCCTCCCTGTGTTACTTCCTGAGGGAAGTTGTGTCACTTCCTGGGGGAAGTCGTTTCCTGTTGTGTAGCACCTAGAAGGAAGTGGGCGCTTTTGTATTTAGTTATGTTTTTGCTTTGTATGGAGTATGTTTCTTCTTTTGAAGAGTTATGTTCAATTTTGTTGAGTATAGTGTTCTTTCTTTATATTTAAAGTTTTATCATCTTCAGTATAAACATAAACGTACAGTTTTCTGTGAATTGAATTCATCATTTATAATAGATGTTTGCAGTATCTGAAACTTAATAAGTTGGCTCCTATTCTCAACACTGGTTATGGGCCAGGACATTTTAGAAAGGGGGCCCCGTGAACAATTTGTATCGATAATATGAACTTTTACTTTGAAGAACTGGGACAGAAAATGACTTTGCTACCAGTAGACTTTAACTTATTATGTCATGATACTTGGGACTGGTGGAAAAAAGACATTAAAGTTTTGTTATTGGATAAAGGCTGTTTGAAATTTATTGAAGGAAAAGAAGAGTTAGAAGTTTCAGCTACAAAAAGGGAAAAACAGGAATTTGAATTAAGAAAACTGGATCCCACGTTACTAAGACCTATTAATATTTAAGTATATTGTCCAGAAAGATATAGCCCTCGTTCCAAGG